CAGGGCTGTAGCGCCCCCACTCTGCCCCAAAGACGGGCAGGAGGCCTTTATATGCCCTTGCTAACCACAAGCGAAACAGACACGGTTTCGGGGTCCAGTTACTGGACTACGCAAGACCTGAGCGATCACCGCACCGGTAACTTGAGCTTCACAAATATCCTTACAAATTCTCACATAATCATCCAAACTAGCCCGAATTTTCCAGGGTCTAATAGCTTCCTGACACCACTTATTAGCATTTTCAAATGCAAGCTGTTAAACTATCTATCGTAGGGAGTCATCAGTGTTACCTAGAATTCGGCCAGCTGCAGTCATCAATCTTGCTAGGCGCTCTGCATATGGTTCTGTCGACCCTTGAATGATCTTTGTTAATTAAATGTCGGCTCCTCCTCTATCTCCTATTGCCTTCCAGGCTGACCGTCTAGCTGCTGCAACTTGGGCAAATACAGCCGTATCATAATCCTTTTGTCGGTCGTTACTATCATATTGACCTTCTTCTGCTAACATATTCTTGTTTCTAACCGGAAATCCAGCATCAGCATTGAGTTTAGCTGTATGAGTGCAGTTCTCTGAAAATATACCTTTCCATACCAAATAATCCCCTGGGGAAGTAACCGCTCTGACGAGCGCCTTCCAATCATTTGGAGTAGGATTCATGCCGAACCAGCTATCCAATAAGGTATGCGTAAAAGCACTCTGGAGGCCATACTGAGTAACCACCTCCTTTAAAGCCTTCAAATCTTTAAAGCTGTGGAGACATGTACTCTAGTACGCACCCCTTGAGGATCTGTCCCTTCTACGACTGGATAAGCATAATTAGGGGCCTGGGAAGCCAGGACTCTTTCCATCATAGAGCACAGTCTTTCCATTAACGGAATATCAACCCTGTCGAGTGTTCTAGGAGGTGGCGCAGGAGGTGGCTCCCCAGGTGTTTTCCATCTCCTTTTATGCTTCCCTGGCTTAAAACAACCGAGGCCTTACTCATCCTGTTCCTCCCCATCTCCCGACTCATCGGTAGAATAATCTAGGGGAGGGGCTGTTGGTATTTTTTGAGCAGAGGAAGGGGGACTTACCGATGTAGAACTCATAGTGGAACTTCTATCTTCTTCCTCTGTTTGTCTCGCTGTCCTGATGGCCTCAGTGGCTAACTGAGCGGCAGCAGTGCCACTGGCATTAAGAGCATCTCCCACCACTCCCCAGACCATCAAAGTAGTGCCAGGAAGAGACTCAAGGCCATATAATTGCTGATGCAAGACAATATCTCCTTTCACCTTATTCCAATTGTCACTATCGACCTGATCCTGCTCCAGAAACCATTTACTAGTGATACTAAGGGTCTCTACAAATCCTTTAAGAACTTTTCTACTAAGAGGAACCCCAAGCTTTTTTAGGAGAGCTTCCAGGGAAATAACTAACTGCCCCTTGGACATTGGATTTCCCATGATCCCAGCTACCTTACCTTACTTTACTTTACTTGCTGGCTCACCACAGCTGGTCCTTCAGCGGTTCCTTCATTCTTTTTCGTGCCCCCACATTGGGCGCCACCTGTCCCGACCCGCGGGATTGGAGGCACGAAAAGAGAAGGGCTGAGGATTGAAATGAGGGGCTTGAGATGACTTGCCACTAGCAGTTGCTTCTTTATTTTTCCTTTTCCTTTTCTTTCTCTTACATGTTTTCTTTTCCCTGTCTTTCTACCTTCCCTGGCCTTCTCTATGCTCCTCTCTCAGTACGTTTGTCAGTATCCTCTCTCGAAGTCTCTACGCAGTATCCTTTCCGCAGTCTCCTTCTCGAAGTCTCCTCTCCTTATCCTCTACGCAGTCTACTCAGTCTCTCTCCTTATCCTCTATGCAGTCTCTCTCCCACTCTCTCCCGTGGTTCCCTTCTTATACGCTCGTAGCTCTTCCCATCGTACCTCCCAGCCCCACGTGATTTACAGGAAAACGCAGTGGTTTCTCAGAAGGCGAAACAGTAAACCGAAACTTATTGCGCACATGCGCAACACAGCGCATGCTCCAGGCGGCTCCGGACAACCAGCGAAGGCTTTACAGCTCTGCACTCAAGGGAGCTGTGGCCAGAGCTGGTCACAGTGAGGCCAGAGGCAGATTGCGCCCAGCTGCACCTCAGAGGGCTGGGTGCAGCAAAACAGAGGGGACCTGAAGCAAGGCTGAGGCATGGGTACCAGCAGCTGCAGGTTGTGTCAACACTGGGAACACACCATGTTGGCCTAGCACTCTGTTAGCTACCCTCCCTGCAGCTGCTGATACCCATGCTGGTACCCATCCAAGTTGCCCCAGCTGGGCTTACCACTCCTCCCAGTGGCCCCAAACCAGGAACTGTGGTGTTTGGCAGGGGTACCTCCACTATTGGAGCCCTTAGGTTGGCCTTGAGGTTGCTGCAGCACAGGGGTGAGCCTTATTGCTGCAGTCCCAATAGGGGACAAAACCCAGGCAGGTAAGTTGGAACCTGGTTCCACTGTTGCCCAACAGCACCACCCACCACCAGTGCTAGTTGCAACCACAGTTCAACTGCAGCACAGGCCAGCCAGATGCATCAGCTGGGAGATGGGACTGTCCACAGGCAGTGTGCTAAGGTAATATGGTCAGGTGACTGGGCCCTATATGGTTGCCATCACTGTGGCTTAAGCAGTGGGGGCCTCTGTGTCAAAGGAAATGTATTGTTCTTCAGGAAGAAGGAAAGTAATCTCATGAAAGTATGAAAATGTAAATAAGTTAAAATATTCTAAGGATGTGTCAACCGAAAGAGATCCTGCAGCCTGATTTCTTATAATCCTTAATGTTGTGAATGAGATTGACTTCCCCATTCTATTGAATGAAGCTCCTATTGGACAAGAGTAGGCGCTGGACAAGCCCCTCATCCAATGATACAGCAATCATTGAAAGAAGATTATGAAGATAAGCACAAGAGTTTTTTTTCATGTCGATGTATAAGGAAATTTAAAGATTTTAGCATGGATAAGAATGTATATAGAGCTTCCATATGATCCAGCAATTCCACTCCAAGGTATTTACCCAAAGGACACAGAAACATCCATTCCAAAGAGCACCTGCACCCCTATGTTTATAGCAGCACTGTTTACAATAGCTAAGCTTTGGAAACAACCCAAATGCCCAAAAATAGATGACTGGATCAAGAAGATGTGGGACATATATACCATGGAATATTACTCAGCATTCAAAAAAGATAAACACATGCAATTTGCAGCAACATGGATGGAGCTGGAAGGGATCATGCTCAGCGAAATAAGCCAGAAAGAAAAGAAAAATACCAGATGGTCTCACTCATAGCAGGAATCTAGAAAACTTAAATAAGGGACCAGGAAGAAAAAGAATAACTATAAGAAAGAAAATATCAACATTGACAAACAACTATGAACCAGAGACACTCTATGGCGGGTGGGGGGCGGGGAAAGGAGGGCTTGGAGTCAAAATAAGGGGGTCGTAATTGTATGGGGAATATAAAAATAAAATAAAAAAAAAAAGAATGCATGTGGTTTCAATGATAAAAATTGCCCAGGTTATTGATACGAGCAGATAATCTATTCAGTTTTAGTAAAGTTGTGATTTTCACAGAAACTTAGAAATCTTCAGAGGTATAGAATTCTAACCACTCCTCTTGCAAATTTTTGCAGACGCATTACTGATAAAGGGCTTTATTGCCTACTAAGGAGGTAGTACAATACCTATGGTCAAGAATATGCCTATTTTTTTCTCTCTTCCACTCACCAAGACTTGTAGCCAGAGGGGAACAACAAAATTTCTAAATCCTGGGTCCTACTTCTGTGCTAATTAAACAGGAGAAACTAAAGTCCATTATTTAGCTAAGCTCAATTGTGCAATTTGGCATCAAATGCATAGCAAAGTGTTAAAATGCACTTCATGACAAAACAGGATCATTTGCCTGTAGGTTGGCAGGAAGCTCAGGAAATTAAGGCATTCTGATAGCAATGACCCAAAGATGAACAAACAGAATTTTAAAAGGAGTTCTCATTCATGTAAAGGGGCTGATTTCCACATTTAAATGAATGGGAGAGCAGTGACATAGAAACAGCAAGAAGGTAAAGCATAGATACATTGAGTTGCTCAGCAGAAGGAAAAATCAGGAAAGCTGTTCAAAAGGTTAGTATTGGTCAAAATATTGATGTGGGAAATATGGGAGTTCAAGATTATAGTGGATTGGGAAGATAATTACTTTTTAGACTGCTTCTTCTGAATTTGTGATGGGAAGCCGTAGATAATAGTCATTCACTGCTTTAAATCCATATAATTGAGATGATATAGACATGGAAGCCTTAATGTAGGAATTGACTTTAACATTCCCAATTCCCATAAACCCTTGTATTGTGGCCACATAAAACAAATGTTATTTTTTTGGTTTTAAAATTTCCCAAATGCCCAAAAATAGATGACTGGATCAAGAAGATGTGGTATATATACAATGGAATATTATTCAGCAATCAAAAAAGATAAACTCATGCATTCCCAGCAACATAGATGGAGCTAGAAGGAATTATGCTCAGTGAAATAAGCCAGAAGGAAAAAGAAAAGTATTGGATGGTTTCACTTATAGCAGGAATATAGGGGAACCAAATAAGACATCAGGGAAATAATAATAACAATACAAAACACAACAGAACAAAACCAGACAATTATAAATCAGAGACATACTGCAGGGTTGGAGGCAGGAGAGGGATCAGAGGGAGGGAGGGAGGGAGGAGCACAGGGGCTGAGGTGAGGGTGCACAGGTGCATTGGTGAAGGAAATTCTATGGGGACTACACCTGAGGGGGTGGGGACAAGCAAATATCGTTTAAAAATGAACAGTGATGTAAAAATAAAGTAATTAATAAAAAAATTTAAAATTTAAAAAAGGAAATAAAAGAGAGAAAAGCTTTTATCATAGTGAGGTAGGAGTAAGATGTAAATACCATCTACAAATCAAACACCTTACTAGGGAGGCCAAAGTACAATAAACAATAATTACCTCATGATCACTTATTGTTTTAGATTGTGCACAGCCTGCATAGCAAGGAGAGAAATACCCAATATCATCTCTTCCACATATAGCACTATAAACTGAAGATGAACACTGACAATGAGAATTGCAAGGAGCTGTCAGGTTCCCCAACTGCCCTGTACTGTAAAAAAAAGAAAAAGATTGAAAGTAATTACATTACACTGTATTCTACTTTTTATCATATATATTAAGATATAATGAGGTCCATAAAAATACGATTACTGAAATAACCTCTAACAGCTTTATCAAGGTCTTACTAAATACAATAAACTGGAGATTTTTAAATGCACAATCCAGAATTTTTGATATGTATATACATTTGTGAAACCATCACTACAATCATGAACATAATCATTGCCACAAAAATTTTCTCATGGTTCTATTTTTGTTTTTATTTTTTTTAATTTTATTGATCTTCCAGTTGTTTATATAACTAATTTTGGGGAGTGTATATCTGCCCCTCCAAATGTGCACATGCTTCACTCAGCCTCCACTAGAGCTCCAGAGCCACACCCTATCACCTTCCCTCTCCCTCTACTCCCATTCCCACTGGGAACCAGTACATTTTTTCACAAATATCTCATGACCCATTGTAATTTTCTGCCCCTGGCATTTTCTGAGCTACAGTCTGTCACTATTCATTAGTTCATACAAGTTTTTGTGTATTTAAGGGTATATTTTGGGGTCTTCAGTTTAAAATTTCTGTCCATCTCTGCAATTTAGAATATACCACTTAATTGTTATGGTCTTACAATGAATTTGATGTCTGGTAGGGAACTCTTCTAGCTTGACTTTTTAAGGCAGTGTATTATTCTTGGACTTTTGCTTTTCTACATGACTATAAAAACAAACTCTTAAGATTTTATTAGCATTGGAAGGCATGCATGTTAATTTGTAAAGTGACAGCTTTGTGATATTTGCATACATGCTATAGCATTCAGCTTATTAAATATTACTTTATGTGTATTAGAAAATTTACTTCTATCCATATAGGTTTTTGAACATCCTTGTTTTGAAACAAGATTAATTACAAGATATCTTTTCACTTTTGTTAATTTGCAAACATTTTTTCACAAAAATTATATTTTTCTTTTTTTGCTGTTATAAAGGAACAGTAATTTTTATTTAATGCTTTTATATCCAGGAAATTATAACTGATCTCTAAATATAGATTTTCATAAATTTTCCTTAGACAAAACTATATTTTCTGAGAATTATTGAATCATTCTCTTTCTAGTATATATAACTTTACAAGCAATACATGTGCTATTACCATGTTAAGCATTCAATATAGTGTAGAATAAGATAACATGTATCTTTTATTTATCATGATTCTACAATGGGTGTTTTAAAATATATTTTAAATTCTATTTGCACTGGAATATCTGTATCAGAGTAGGTTTTCCTAGTTATTACTAGTTCGCTTAAATTTGTTTTTAAACAAAAGGGTTTGGAAGTAATTTCATCTTAGTGATGGAGGAAATTAGAAAAAGAGTGTAGGCAGTTAGTTAGGAACAGGGTGCCCAAGCCCAAGTCCATTATCAGCCTGATTGGGAAACAATAGCAGACCAGGAAGGCACTCTCCCACCCATTCAATCAAAAATGGAATATATAGAAGACAATAGAGTAGCACAATAGCAATGGAGGAAAGCTGTTTCAGAAAAGTAGGCTGAGTAATGTGGGAAAACTCAGTAGGTTCTCAGTAGCCTGGGAGACCCCCTGGGGCAAGTCAATCAGCAAGAGACACAATAGGGAGATATACCTAAAGCCTGCTCACTGTACCCATATAAGCACCTGCTTCTCACCATTTGAGTGTCTACCCACTCGGGACCCCTCTCCCATCGGAGAGTTTTCCTATCCTTCCTACCTACCTATCAATAAATCTCTTGCTTTTTTGTAACTGGTCTTAATGCTGAATTCTTTTGTTCTCAAAGACAAGAACCAAGAAAGGAACCACCTGGGGTCCTGGGACTCTGGGCCTGCTCAACAAAAACACCAATTCATCTGGTGTCATGACTCAGATTGACATCTGTCAATTATCTGTCTCTTTCTGTCCATCTCTTTCCCCGTTTCTTTTCTCCTTCCTTGACTTTGGTCTCCTCCCACACTCTGCTGAGCACTAGCCACACTGTTCTCCTGATTTTCCTGGGAGCCCAGTCAAACACCTGTAACCTGTCTGGTGAGTTCTGTGGAACTCTGAAAGCACCAAAGGGTGAGCATAAAGATTCCCCTCTCTCTCTACTGTGCTGTCCTTTGCTTTAGTCTTTAAGCCATTGAAGGGTCTCCCCCAAAATTAACGGGACCCTGTTGGCCTGTTAAAACCACAGGGTGGTCACTGGCCTAAAGTCTCAGGGATAGGCTGTGTGGTGTAGAGGAGAAGAATCTTCCATCTCTTTGAGGGGGGAACATTGTCCTCTCTTGTACCCCTTTCTGTTTCCACTGTGACCATCCATCTTAGTCACGGGTACCTGTGTGTGAACACAAGAACAGAGGAGAGCTCGCCTGGCGTCCTAGGACTGGGTCCTGCTCCAAAAAAACTCCTATTCATTATCATAATCATATCTTTTTTACTTGGT